CTGGGAAGCAGGCGGCTGGCCGGCCGGCGCGCGGGGCTTCCCTTCGCAGTCCATCTCCCCCCCGCGTCAGGATGAGGCCTTCTTTGCCATAGCAGCCTCCACACAGTTTCCCCTCCCCACCGCCTCGTGCTGCTCGCTTTCTCTCCTTTGTGCACATGGAGCCTTAATAAAAAATAAATAAAACAAATAAAAGTGTATTTACCACAGGAAGTCTCTTCTGGGGCAACATGGCAACTTCCAAGCCCTTGCTATGGACCCCGTCCTGTTCGAGGCAATTTGGTCCTTCGTCAGCAGTAATGTGCAAAGCCCAGGACGATTTAAAATATATATTAAATCGCCCTGGGCTTTGCATATTACTATATATATTGTATGTAAGCTTTCGTGGACAAACCCACTTCAGGACTTGTCCACGAAAGCTCAGTTATTTTTATATAATTTCTGAGTAAAAACAAAAAAAAAAGAAACATAATTTTTGCAGAGTCCATAAGATATCACAGACAGCAAGACTACGTCCTCAGACACATCAATCCGATTAAGGGGGAGTGCCGTTGGCAAAAGCTTGTGATAATTTTTTTAAAAATCCTGTTTATATGGAGCCAGAAGACTGTGGGTTTTGGTTTTGCTCCCAAAGAGTAATGTGGTCACCATCTAGAAATTATTTTCTGAATGGATTTGCGGCTGTGGTGTGCCATCAAGTCGCACCAGAATTAAGGTGGCCCTAATAAGGTTTTCAAGATGTGCAAGAGACTTACATGTCACATCTCGAGATGCCAGGGCCGAGCAAGGATTTGAACCCAGGTCTCGTAGTCTGTCGCCTGGAGTGGTCGCAAGACCAGATAGGCGGGATATAAAATAAATAAATAAAATACCCCACGCTGGCTGACATATGCATATTGTTGAATGCCAGCCCCATGGGAGCAAGGGAGCAGGTTGAGAAAGTCTGATGGGTCCCCTGAGCACCATTAAGGTCAAATTAAGCCTCAAGTCTGCCTTGAAACTAAAATAGAGGGTTTATGTGATGATGATGGGAAAAGCTCAGTAGGAAAAGAGGACACCCGGGCACGAGATGGGTGGACTCAATAAGGAACCCACGGCCTTCAGTTTACAAGACCTGAGCAGGTCATAGGACTAGTGATCAAACTTTTTGGTGGTCATTAATTGGTAGGGTCGTTATACCTTGGAAATGATTTGATAGTACAAAATTGCGGCAAGCCCTTTGAATGAAATTGGGTCTGGCTTTTTTCAGCAAACGCGGCAGAGAGCATGGGAATATATTGCACTGAATATGAACAAAATTTGCATTTAAGTAAAAGGGCAGCAAATACTGTATAATGGGTTGCCCGGTTTGTTTGATTTAAAATGAAACGACGGGGCACTTAAGAGCTGTACCGTGCAATTACTGTTAATGACGTTCTATGCAACTATCTCTAGGGGATATTTTTTTTCTAGAAGAAAAAAAGTCCCCAACACACCTTAAAAACAAACATGTTTATAATGGAATAATGAAGTCGAGGCTCTAGATGTTGCTGGAGGACCATGCCCATAATCCAGAATTTGATCATGATGGCTGGGGGTTGGAGTCCCACATCTGGAGAATCATCCGTCTACATTACTGGATTAAAAACTGGATTCTTCATTCTCTAAAAAACATATGCTATGATATAAAGTGGGCAACCTGGGGCATTCTATACGTAGATGGACTCCAAATCCCATCATCCCTCACCACTGGCTTTGCTAGTAACGCTGATGGGAGATATAGTGCAAGAATATTGGGAAGTCACAAATGACCTATGTGATATTCAGTGCTATTAAGAACTTTAGACTATGGTTTATAACTGGAATTTATTCTGAGTTGACTTGTTTTGGATTTTAATAATTTTCCACCCCTGCAATAAATTAATACGGCCATACAGCTGGAAAAATTTCCCTACCTCCACGTCAAGAAAGCTGAGATCACAAACGGGCTCGGTGGGCTGTCAGGATAACATTGGTCTCGTGGCAGTCCAGCCAAGGTGAAAATCAGCACCTTTAACATCTTAACTAAGGACTACAAACCAGCAAGCACCAGTTGTGATAACTTGATTAATTAATTTCACTGGGATTTGTACAGAAAGCCCCACACGGACTTCGATCAAAATCAGCTGAGGATGCTCAGAGACAGCCTTTATGAGAATTAATCCATGTTGTATCAGAAGTTGTAGTTTTCATGATGCCTCGATATATTAAAACATATGAGATCCAGACAAATTGTATGAAAGCTGCCAACCTCCATTTCATATCTGACAATCCTTGGGACGTATTCTTCTTTTCCCTGAGTGACTTATAAGAGGAATCAGGTACATTTGAGAGAGAAAAAATGTCTCTGTCAAATAACATTTATTTTGCAGTGGCTAGAACGGGCTTGTCATCTGGGACGGTAAGAATTTATGAAAATATTTTATCCAAACATTCTGTTGGCCATTATTTATTAATGCCACATTTAAAAAAAATGTTACACTGGAAATTTATCCCAATGCACATTAGTAAATAAATTACGTTTGTAATTTCTAATGCATTTTTAATTACAAATTTATCCATGTCTCCCTTTATTTATGGTTGTGATGGTTCCTCTTGCAGGCTCGCGCATGTAATCAGAGACACCCTTAATTAAGCATCCGTGGACATTGCATATGACAAAATGTTCTGAATGGTTAGTTTTCTTTAGTTGTTGTTTTTTTAGTTTAAGGCCATCCAATATCATAATCCACAACTGTTCTCCAGCCTGTTTGCATTTCCACAGTTCAGCTGGCCTAAAAGCAGACGCATGCAGCCCTAGGACATGATCCTCTGGTTTATGATGATCGCAGGAATGAGTGATCTCCAAATAGGTCCTGTCCTCAGCCAACCGGCTCAGCTCTTGGAAACACAATCCTGTGGCTTCCTTTAGTTAGTTAGTCCAT